CTTTTTTTAGCCACTTAGTCTTGAAATTTGTTTCAAGTTGCAGAAATGTGCCGAAGAAGTTCATGGAATGTAAAAATGATATTGCATGATGGTAATATGGTGAAACTGGAGCCAGTTTGAGTTCGGTTACAACGCTATAAATATGGAAAGGAAACGCTATAAATACGATTTAGCATCAAGACCACCTCTGATCTTAAAATCTGACGAAGCATTTCTAAGAAAGAATTCGAAACATTTAAAAATTGTTTGTCGTGAAAAAGACCAGAAAAATGAGCCAATAGCTATCTTTTTCTTAATCTCACAATGAGCCATGTCCTGCCCAGCAAAAAATCCGATTCCTGTTTATTGACGTCTGTCTTTCTCTTCAGATTTAGCACTACAAGACTTTTGCTAAAATAAAAACCACAGCAAAAAGAGAATGCTTTGACACTATTGAATTATACCCAAAAAGAGCCTTTATTTTATTTTATTTATTTCGTTTTATTATTATTTAATTAGTATATATATATATATATATATATATATGTAAAGAGAGAGAGAAAACTACTATTGGCCGATATAAAATTGACCAACTTCCAGATTTTGTCCTAATAGTTATATTAATCATCCACATTATTTTAAATTCTTAAAATACGAGCAATATCTAAACATATGAAAAGAAGCGAGTGTATGTTCAATGCTAAATATATGTGAGTATAATATTAGAATAATTTTGTGACAGCAACTTATTTTAAGTACGCCAAAAATTAGCTTAGCATAATAATTTCAATCTATGAACAAGATGTATGTTTCAAAAATTTATGTTACAGATTTTAGCATCTTATATGAAACAATGAGAAAAATTATATTCAAGGAAAAAAATATTTCTTTATAAAAAGTTTTTAAAAAACTATTGGTTTAGTAGTTCGGGGAAAAATCTGTTCACACGTCAATTTTAAAAAAAGTATTCATAATTTGTGGTGGCATCATGTTTGTAACAACACACAAGCGATGCTTTTTTTTTTTAGAAAGTTATATTTTTTACTTAGCTTGCAAAAGATGTAATTTAAATTTTAGCTTCGAGGATTTTATAACCACATTTGTCTTGCAACGTGTAGAAATAAATTCATTTGTGTAAATCTATGAGTAATTATATATTAGTCTGAGTTTCAAGAGTGAACTAAGAGTAAATAATGCTGGAGGTACAATTGAAATCAAACCACGTAATGCCGAGATTTTGCAAGAGTTAATTTCTGTAAGGATACAGCGACTCCAAACTGTCTATTAAATGAACTACATGGTTTATTATAATGTATTTCTAAAAGAACAGGGAGTTCATGGAATTAAAAAAATTAAAAGTTATTCGAGCGGGGGGAAAAGTGAAATTAACAAGTATACCTTTTAAGTAAATTGCTTATCAGGAATTACGCTGTTGTCGAGGTGATGAAGAAGTTTTTTATAACTACAGCAATATATTGGCGAATCTATTAAGAGCTGATACAGTATTTAGCTAGTACAACAGAATTGTGTTTAATAAAATTGTTAAATAAAACAAATTTTAAAATTAACAAAATTTAAAAAAAATGCATGTTTGTTGTGTACGCAAATAATAAAATACAATATTTCACTTAATTAATCAAATACAATTTTATTGATATACTGGCAAAATTTTATCACAGTTACCTAAATATGGTAAAATTTACCGCTTTTCTGGCTCTATGGGAACATCAAAAAAATCAGTGATTTTAACCGAATCGCTTTGGTTACGATTTTGCTAAAATTATTATTAAAATATGGTTTTATAATACTTGATAAAAGTTGATAAATGCGGTAAAATTTGGATACTTTATCATAATGCCATAGAGCCTAAGAACTATTTATTCGGTAAAATTTACTTCTCAGTTTTGAATTTGTTACTGAGAGTGCGGTAATAAGAACTAGAATTTTGATGACTAGAATTTTTGGTAAACAGTTGCCATATGCACTGAAAAACTACCAAATGAATGGTTCAAATACCGTATATTTTGGTTTTAATATTACCAGAAATATGGTTCTTTTCAACCTAGAAATATTATTACCATGCAATATGGTAGTTTTAGCAGAATTTTTTCTCCTTTATATTGTACGCATATGTATAATAAATATTGTTTTGGAATGTAAACATTTCTAGTTAAAAATAGATAAATGTGTTAACAAATAGGCTGCAATTATTCGCATAAAATTATTTGATAGGTATTTAACTCTGGTGCTAAAATGCTTGGGAATTTTTGTTTTCTAGTTTGAGCTTTTTAACAGTTTAGATAGTTTGAAAAAAACATCCTGAAACAAAAAATATTATTTCCCGGAAATCATTTTTCTTTAGATGATTAGTTATTATCTCTTTTCAAACATCATCTTTACCTTTTCATTTGTTTTGCATTTTCGTAAAGAAAGAATCTGTACCACAATTTTTGCCAAAAGAATTGTGTATAGAGGTAGTTTTGGAAATTATTTAAAAATAATTAAGATTGTAAAAGTACTCATTCAAATACTTAGATTTGAAGAATTTTCAAAGCAAACTGAATTTTTTTTTAGTCTTAAAGACAAGGGTTGATTTTTTTAAAGCTATAACATTTGATTTCAAATTTTTCATTTCAGGTTACAAAACGCATCAACCTATCAAATAAAAATAAGACTGATTTTTATTTCGCTAAATATTATTCTCATCCATGCGCATGAATCTCAGAGTGTATTCTCATTTGTCTTAGGTTATGAAACGTAATTAGCTATTATAAATAATAATGATAATAATTATTATTTTAATTTATACATTTTATTCGAAAAAAAAGGTAGTACTCTCACCCATTCAAGAAACTCTGAAAAAGAACACTTCTCTGAAATCTGAGGTTACAAAATGTTTGTATATATATATATA